CACCACCACCACCACCACCACCACCACTACCACCTCCACCACACACACCACCACCACCTCCACCACCACCACCACCACCACCACCACCACCTCTGGCCATTGAGGCAGAGTGACAAGTGGCCTTGATATCTTCTTGCTGTTTAGAACTGGCAGAGGTCTGAGGATGGTTAAGGGCTGTAGAGTTAGGAGAGCTAGCCACACTCATACTGAAATCGATTGACTCAAACTCCATTAATAAGGTAACCACCCTCGTGTATTTGTGGAAGCGTGCGTGGCTTTTCCAAAGTTCTTCGAAGATAAGCGTCTGTAGCCTTAGCTTCTGCCATCCTCCTTTCAGTTTTCATGTACTCAGGGAGAGAGATAACATTTTCCTGTCTTTCCCCCCTCTTGGCTGCTGTGGGAAAGGGGGTTCTGAAGCAAGTTTCCAGTTTCCAGATTTACTCTGCATGTCTCATAGAGCTGTCCTCTGCTTTCCTTCGACGCCGCCAGTGACAAAACCTACCGTTTATCTGAAGTGTGTGAATAAAATTAAGGCTTGACTTGAAAGTACTAGAAAAGCCAGGGTGTGGTGGCACGTTCCTATAATCCTGGAACCCAACCCGGGAGGCTAGGGCAGAGGAAAGCAAGTATGAGGCCAATAATACGGGGAGAAAAGAGAAGAACGTTATATCCGCGGGTTATTCTATTGTCCTCAAACTTTAATTTTTGCATTAGAAAAGCAGCTGTTTATTATTTTTTAAATTTGGAGTTCCTGATTGGAAATTTCAGCACAACTTAAAACTGTTAAGCTTTTATGATTCCATCAAGCATCAATGTGTAAATGTTCTGGTGGAAAAATGTACTTTAAAAATTCTAGTCACTATTACCCATCCATATGTAAAGATGCTGAGGGATTAGTACAATAAAAATGATCAAATATGCGTGATCTCCAACTCCCAGGTCCGCACTTCTGGTCCCTAAGATGTGAATGGACAGTACTCTATTGCAATGTCATCTAAAATTCTAAATCACAACAGGGCCCTCAGATTGCCCTTCACCTAGTTCATCATGCCTTTAGTATATGGGTTTTGAAGAACAAGTTTCCCTTTTCTATTAGTAAGTGTGATCATCTAATGACCTCAATTAGAGAGGGGAGTAAAAAGGCCCACACATCTAAAAATAACTCCATTATCCACGCAGAGAGGGTCCCGTTTCTGTTTCCTCTGCCCTCGCCGATATTAAGTAAGTGGCAATCGATCAGGGTAAATGTCTGGCTCTCATTTCTCATAAATGAAGGGCTGTGGCTTTAAGTAATCGCGGGCTGCCTGTGCCAGAGGCAGGAGCTGCAGTATCAGCTTCTGTGGGGGAGAGAGGAGTCTGAGGCAGTAACCTGCAGGACGCAGGGAGAGGCCACCAGGGCCAATGGCGCTCCTCCCGACTGAGCTTTGAATGTGGGCAGACCCGACCGGTGGGAGGCGGGGCCACCTGTGTGCTTCTCGGACAGTGCAGGGGGTGGGGGAGTTGGAGACCGAAGCTGGAAAATGGGCTGCCCCAGCAGCAAAATGTGCCTCTCTCCTCCATGTGCGGCCACACGGGTAATTAGTATTTGTTTACAGTGCTCTTCTGGAAGGGTGTCAGGAACTAATGCAGACCCTGTCTGGAACCAGGCTGGGAAAGTGCTTTGAATGAGAAGCAACTCTCGCCTGCAGAGGCCAGACTTATGATCTCTGCAATACTGTGTGATCCAGATGCGGGAGCCCCCACATCTGAGGTGATCCCAGGAAGGGCATTTTCAGAGAGCTTGGAAATCCTCTGACTTCTTAGCTCCACGCTGGTGCCAGGAAATGTACGGCTTCAGGAACCGTGTTTAATGATTGTGTTTGTATAAGTATGTGTGGATGTGTGATTGCTACAGACCTACAGGTAACTCGAAAATTATTCTTTATCGCAAGATTGATATTTGCCTTTTTTTTTTTAAACACTGAAACAGCCTCTTGATTGCCTTTACTTCACTTCTGTCAAATCTATTTAGAATTATAGTTGCTCGGTGATGTAATAATCTTTGGAAACTGGTGTATAGCTGGGTGAAATCAATTTATTTTCATCTTGAAGAGATTAAATTTGGTTTGTCCTAGTTTAAAAACAAACTTTCTTTTTTGTTTAGAGTGTAGGATTGGCCTTGCAAGAAAACTTTTTCATTTGTGGATGTGGGACAAAGTCCATATAAGTGCCTATGTTTAGAACATTAAATATTTATCTTAAACTGATTAGGCCTTTATTGTCCTTGGAGGGGAAGAATGCATTACGTCTTAAGTACAGTATACATTAGCTGAAAGGGTCTATGGGTCTGCAGTGAGCACCAGGCGCAAAGCAAATATTTGTAAATGAGCCATTCAGTTCTTCAAAGGCAAGTTTCACCAGCACCTTGGGAAAATACAGATTTTCGAAACGCAAAATTCCTTCACGTCAAAGGGACATCTGTGTTTTGCTTTGTTTTTAAGGACACAAACTGTTAGCTTAAGTGATTCTTATCTCAGCTTCTGGATTCTGGGTCTCGTTTTCCTAGCAATGGCAAATGTGTACCTTAGTGAAAAGGGACCCTCTTCCAAACATTAGTAACCTGATGTGTGTTTTCCGCAGCGGGAGGAAGCGTTGAAGCAACACAAAACCCTCTCTCAAGAACTTGTCAACCTCCGGGGAGAGCTAGGTAAGAGCCTGTTTTCCTTCCTCGGTAAAGTTTACTGAAATTGATGAACACGCTGGCGGCTGTTATTTCTCCCTCTTGTATCTGTGCAAACACTTACTATCCACACTGCTTTTGAATCTTGACAGTGTGACCTCAAGTTCACAGAATTCCTGGCACTGGTCTCCGAGTAAGCTAACAGAGCTTTCTGATGACCAAAGCATGCTTCATACCGAGGAGACAGGGACAGAATGGTGTGTGTGTGTGTGTGTGTGTGTGTGTGTGTGTGTGTGATTGTATGGATTCCTGTTGAATAATTAAGTTATGTTGGTTTATTTTTTTCGGAACCATTTTTTTATAGTAAAGAGTGTTGGAAAAAAGGTCACTTTCTCTGAGAAGAGTGGTTATATTACACATTTCGGGGATGGTGTGTGTGTGCTGTGAGTATACAAAGAAAGGGATGCTGCTTGTTAGGACCTCCCATCAGAACAAGGACATCCTATGCTATTCAAATAGTCAGGATGAGCTAGGGAGGAATATCTACCAACTCTAGGAGCAGTGTAGTGTGCCCCCCCCTACACACACACACACACACACACACACACACACACACACACTCCCGGCCTGTGGGGACCCCTCAGCCTAGGAATTGGCTTGATGTAGCTTCAGTTGGATCTGGAGTTGCTCAGTAAAAGGTCACTTGCCTGGTCCTCTGCTTTGCCTGCTGGCGGGCTGTTCAGAAAGTATGCACAACCTAAGTTCTTCAAAAGGAACAGCTGGAGATAAAGCAAATGTCGTTCATTTACTTCTCAAAGAATCCTGCTCTTCTCGGAGAACCAGACCCTAGTTTAATCACTGCCAATCTAACTGCTGAAATATCCATCAATAACTACACTGCTCCAACCAAGGTAAAGGTCAAGGTCCAGAGCATGTGGGGTCAAGATTGCACCCTTCCCTACTCCTTGTACCTCCCAGTGGGAGTTGAGGCCAGTTCATAGCTAACCCTTGAGATTCACGGCAGCAGAAAAGCCATCCGTGCTGGCATCAGGTCATGGAAAGGAAGGAGCCTTGTGGGAAAGTAACTTTAAGACAGGTGAAAGTGTAGACACTCAGTGATGGGTGGACAGAGGCCACAGCCTTGAGCGGCCCTGATCCCAGACACCATGAAGACCTCCTTCCCGCTGTCTAATTCGATCCGGCTGCCTCCCTTTCAGTTACTCAATGACCAGCTCAATTTGTCCGTCTTAAGTACTGTAATGGATACGGAGTTAGGAGATGAGGGAAGAGGGCTCTTTGTGAGTTTTCGGTGTTTGTCCAAAGGACACAGTGGAGGTGGAGATGGGCACATTCAGATTTCTACTCTCGGAGAGAAGTCAGGACGAGACAGACGGGGACACCGAGCTCTCATTGCCTCCGCCTGAATGGTGACCCTCTCTGCACAATTGAGCAATTTAAATGGGAGCTCCGGTCCACGGCACTTCCAGTTATCACGGGGCCTGTCAGGAAACAGCCATCTTTTGTACTCTCGACTCTCTGTCTGAGATAAGGAGGAGAACGTGGCCTGGTGTGTGTTTCCTGACGCTGTCAAAGTGTCAGGATGTTGCGGGTGGCCTGTCCACATTGTTTGGTCACCCTAGGCTGGACTTGGGAAATGGTGTCATTTCTGCTAACCACTGAGTCAGACAGGCTTGCTTAAGTGCCAGCGCTTGCAGAAGTACCAGTGAAGGCATTTGGGAAGAGGTTTGGTTTGGCCAGTGAATAGAAGAGAGTCCTTTAAACAAGTGTAATGGAGCTGGCTAGAAAGAAAGTTGTTGAAGCTTTCCACTGGATTTGTATATTGGGTCAGAGTGGAAAAAGATAAAGTTTACACATCAAAGCTCAAACCTCAGTTTTTCAATTTGAAGCGATAAAATGGGTAGGACGGTGGTGTCACAGTATCCGGGTTCGCGTCCTTGGGTTGGAAGCTGGGTGGCCCAGGGCCTGTCACGTCCCATCTCTCCTGCTCCAGTCTTATTCTCTCTAAAGTGACAGTGTACACGTGTGTGCTCCAAGGATGGTCATGAGGCTCACATGAGGTAAAACACCCGTGCCTGGTGTGGTGTGTGCCTTAATCCCAGTACTCAGGAGGCCGAGGCAAGAGGATCACTTCCACTCCTAGGCCAGCGTAGTGAGTGAAATACTATCAGAAATTCCCCAGAACAGGTTCTTCACACTCAAATGCACACGAGACCCGACCAGTCGGTTGCTGCTATATTGGCGTTTAATGTGGGGTTAGTGGTGTGGGTTTTTATTCATGCACTCCCAGTTAGGAGGGACTTAACATTTGTGAGTACATAGACTTTGACTCACTAAAGTGAAAACTCTGTGTATGTTGCTGGATTGGAGTGGAGTTTGAAGATACATGCAGTGGTGGTCCTAGTACCGGACACGTTGTAGGCTACTTAAGAAAGAGCTGCTGTCTTCCCGCTCACCACCACTTCCACCATGAGAGTACCCACCAGCATACATAACCCGGGCTGTCAGTGTCACGGTCAACTGCGTGATCTTTCCTTACCTTCTCCCTGAACATTGGGGCAAGATTCTCAAACTACTAAGAGTTTTGGTGAGTGAAAGACAGCCCATAAACACTGCAATTCAATAGCCTGTTCTTTTTCCCCTTCAGAGTCTAATGGTTTCCTTCCGTCTCCACCATCCACCGACTCTGGATGCCTTCTCAGTTGGAGCCCTGATAGTCTTTTTCTAAGCTAAGCCTTCTGGTCTGACATGCAACCAGCGTGTTTCTCTTATCTGACCCACATCCCTTCATGGAAAGCCTGTTTGCTTGGGCAAAGTTTTTCAATAAACCCCTCTGTCTCACAGACCAAAACCATGAGGTTCCTCCTACCCCAGTGACCCTCATACCTTGCACAGATGTAGTTCACGTATCATCTGTGTTCTTCTGTTATCTTTCAGACTCTGTGGTCCTTAATTGAGACTCTTTCCTGCTTCCTCTTTAAAAAAAAAAAATCATAATGAACTCTCCATTTGCATAGTTTATTGATATTTATTGGCACCTGGGAGTTTATAATTTAAAGACCAGTCTACCAGCATTATTTCAGTCAAACATGTTTTATATAGAATAAAGTTCCATTGTTCCATCCCATTTTTGTTGGAGACAGGGCAGCACTGTGTAGATAGACTAGGCTGGCTTTGAACTCAGTCTTTGTGTCTCTGTTCCATCAGGTTTTTTTTTCCCTTTCTACTACATTTATTTGTGTGTGTATCCACATGTATGTGCCCTAGCACATGTATTGAGGTCAGAGGACAGTTTGCAGGATTGGGTTCTCCCCCTCCACCCTGTGAGTTCCAGTGATGGAGCTCTGGTTCTCAGGTTGGGTGGCAAGCCTGATCCCCTGAGCTATCCAGCCAGTCCATCAGTTTTAACAGACACTCATATAATCTACACTTGCATCGAACATTTCTGTAATCCCTGAAGATTTAAGTCTCCCCTCCCTTAGAAGCAAATACTCATTTGGTTTTGATGACTAGCTATCAGTTTGTCTCTTGTAGAATTTCATGTAAATGAAAGTGTAGTGCACTCACTGGAGTCTGGCTGCTTTGGCAGAGGATCATGCTTCTGAGGTGTTTTCATGTGTCTTTGGATTCTTTTGACAAGCCCAGGTCACACCCCGTAGCCTCCACTAAAGACATTACTAAGGATTGTGGGCCTTCGATAGCAGCGGCTCTCAACCTGTGGGTCGCAACCCCTCTGGGGTTCAAACAACACTTTCATAGGGGTCACATATCAGATATTTACATTACAATTTATAACAGTAGAAAAAATCACAGTTACAAAGTAGCAACGAAAATAATTTTATGGTTGGGGGTCACCACAACATGAGGAGCTGTATTAAAGGTTCACAGAATTAGGAAGGTTGAGTACCACTGATCTATAGAGTGGTATGGCACTAAGACCATACAATCATGACTCATGGGTGTATTTTTTTTTAAGCCCATCCTTCCTGAGCTGCAGGTGTATGCTGAGAGGCACCGCCTCTAGGTGAGCCAGCCTAGGGAGATGACACTTTCTCCTGGATGGCCCCTTGCTTCCAGAGTCCTCTGCATATCTTCTTACTCTAACCCTTATGCATCCATCCCTCAGTGTCTGGGAGGCATGAGTTGAGTCACTCAGCACCCAGGACAGCCACTGACTCACCCTCTATTATCTACACGCATATCAGTCTGGGTCTTAAGTCTTTCTCAGACCTGTCCTTCCTCTGCGTTCCTGGAGCCATAATTTCTGTTACGGAAGATTTTGCCACGGCTACCCAACAGGTTGCATATCTTACCATCAGGCTGCATTTCCCTTTTTGTGGGTTCCAGAGATTGTGCTGGTTTATCTGACATTGTAGCACTCACTGCCTTCCTTGTTTTTGTTTTTCTTTAAAGCCTGACTTTGTGTCTAGGTGCTCTTTCTATTCCTGCCTGGTTTCCTGCAGGTCTCGGCCGTGGGGTGGTCTAATTCACGCGTCTATCTGCCTCTCTCTCCTGCATACGTTACCTTTCTGCTGATGTGCGCTCTCTCCTCTGTGTGCTACTCTTCTATTCTCGCCTCTCAGACTCTTCATTTACTCATTTTTAAGATGAGTCCCCTTTAAAACGTCTTGACCCCAGCCAAGTTTCACTCAAATCTTTCAAACAAGTTATTTTTTATGTTTTCTTTCTACCCTTTGGTTACTTGGTGGTGCACACTAAAACTTTGTACTTAGCTATTTGTTTATGTGCCTTTCCCCTCCCTCTAGAGCTACAAGATATTCAAAGGCAAAGTCTCTGTCTCCTTCAGGTGTATAGGCCTGGGGTGCAGGGATGCATAGACCACAGTTAAGGAATGGATTTTTGCAACCCACGATGGTGACAGGGAAGCTGGGCATCTCCTTGTAGTGTGCAGATGTTTAAGGGGATATAAGCACAAACATTTCCTTCCATTGAACTGCTTTAACAATGACACTTCTAATTTTCGGAATGAATGATAATAATAATGATGA